ATCAATATAAACTAGTTATATTGAACAACAAACAAAGTGTATTAAGTAATGATCAAACACTTAAGTCGAAATAATTGTGTATACATGATTTCGGTGAGTTAAGTGCTTTTGAAAAAACAAAAAAATAAGACAAACAAAAAAAACTGACAGAATAGTAAAACGTTCTAATAATTGGTTAAGTTTGTTTTGCCTACATTATTTACTTTAGTATTCTTTAGTTTCCTTCTTTGGATACGGTAAATTTCTTCAGCTTATAAGTTTTCTTTATCTTCATATTCAACACTTCAACATTCTTTCTAAAGACAATTTTTTTCTTTTCATCTATTAAGATAAACAATTCTGTTTTGGAAATTCTTAAAATATAAGTTTAAATGCTTATTTTCTCCCTATATACCTTAAACCTTTTTCATTTACTGTATACAAATTACATATTAATACTTTAATTAAACATTCACAAGTGTTTATAATTGTTAATTATTTTGTTTTAATTTATAATTTGATGTTGTTATTATAATGATAATAGAAGGTAATTCATTCATTAAATAATAATGGTATTCAATAATGTTTTAGTTTTCATACAATCTGATATCTCCATTACATTTATATGCTTCTAATGAAGGGTAAACTATGGAATGTTGGAATAAAGCAAACATTTTTTAAAAAAAAACAAGAGAATAGTTGATTCAAAGCTTAATGCTAAGTAATTTAGATGTTTAACTTTTATTTAAAAGCAATTCATTCAGCAAAAAATAAAGAATAAAATAATCAACAGTTTATCTATTCAATTAAGTGAGTTTTTCAAATGCAAAATGTAGTTTAAATTGTATGGAATTGTATTTATATTCACTATGGGATTTGTTTTTCTCTCTCAATGTTACTTTGTATACTAATGAAATAAAAGAGAAATAAGAACTTTCAATGGTTAAGATCATGAGTCAGTTGAATCTAGACCACCATGGAAAACCTGGAAGCACTGGACGGCCGTTTCGTCCTATTGTGGGACTCCTCAGCAGTGCGCATCCACGACCTCGCCCCCCTGCGAGATTCGAACCCAGGGCCTACTGGTTTCGCGCCCGAGCACTTAACCACTAGACCACTGAGCCGGGATCCAACGTTGTTAATGTCTAACTTCAACTAATCCACGAAATTGAGCGACACATTCACCATTGTCTTCAGTGACTTACTACCTCACAACAGACCTGGTTGAACTTCACTGGTCACTACTTCTCACTAGAACTCCAGGATATACCTCGTGAAGCCAGTCACTAGTGAGCATATTTTTGATTAATATCAGATGGGTTTTTGTGGAGATTGTAGTAATTTCAATGGTTAAGATCATGAGTCAGTTGACATTAACACTGTTGGATCCCGGCTCAGTGGTCTAGTGGTTAAGTGCTCGGGCGCGAAACCAGTAGGCCCTGGGTTCGAATCTCGCAGGGGGGCGAGGTCGTGGATGCGCACTGCTGAGGAGTCCCACAATAGGACGAAACGGCCGTCCAGTGCTTCCAGGTTTTCCATGGTGGTCTAGCTTCAACTGACTCATGATCTTAACCATTGAAATTACTACAATCTCCACAAAAACCCATCTGATATTAATCAGAAATAAGAACGTTTTAAACGACTTAATAAAGTGTTGTTTTTTTGTCCTAATGCATCTGGAGTCTAACCGATTTCCGAAAATCTCATTCTAGTTTATGGTTTTATATGAATATTTACTATATGTGATCAAACTCATTATATCACAGTCTCCTGAACAGCGATTTAGCATTTAATTCGATATTCAGTTGAAAACCTTTATAAGTTATGCCTGATATTAAACAAGATAACATAAATGAATCGTTTGATTGAGCAAAGTGTAGATTAATCATTTGTAGTGAAATTGTGCCTTTATATAAAATCTAAGTCGATTGATAAGTATAGTTATGGTATTTTTTAAGGTGTTCTGTAAAAAATTATTCTATTCACTACAAACTTTATAACACAAAATAATTACACCAAAGAATAAAAACAATGAATGACTTCAATTTGAAGGTATTCATTTCGCTTAAAAATATGTATAGTTATCATAGAGCTTTGGAATTAGTTTTCAACTCTTCAGTGGTTGTGTAACATCAATTGATTCATGATGTCAATCAAAAACATAATAATCTCTACAACCCCATACTGATCATTATTAATCATTTATAATTGACTATGAAACTATTAGGAAAATATTTCTAATCTGTATACAGGTGATTAAAACTTACTTATGTAATGATTTATTACCAGGAAACAGATCTTCATAATAAGGTCTCTTTTTCATTTTCGTCATTAAATGTAGCTGTTAAAAAAATCTCTTATGTACAGATTTCACTTTCTGATTCGACGTTGAAATAATGTTAAATCTAATTCTCTTAATAGTAGTCCGATGAATTTTTATCTTGTCACACTAATATGTCCCTGAATTAGCGTTGATATCCGGAAACACTTAAAGGAATATATTATTTGAATGCTGTCTTCCTAGCTTAAATCTTCATGTCAGAGTAAATGCACCACCTACATTTTTTCACACACTCATAATTCAAATGGTAATGTAATGGCTATTTAAGTCATATCACTTTGAATATGAAGCTTAAACATCCACACAAGGAAACTATGTACATCGAGCTTTCATTACATAATCCATTAAATGAAAGGTGAACTTTCGCTCTATCTTATGTTTTTTTTTGTTGTTGTTGTATACGTTTATTACAGATTAGAAGTTGGTCATGAAAAACCATCTCAAGTATTGTTAAATAACAAATTACAAAATGTTATATGCTTTTACATGGGTGTATCATGATAATTAGCTTATTATATAAATCATTAAAGTACTCATTTGTCAAAAGATTATTGAATTTCACTTAACCCACTGTAATAACGTCTTAAATGATTTACAACAAATTTCCTATCTGTTAATATTTTAAACCAGTTTATTTAAAGACGTCAGAATATCAAGATTTCTAATGTTTTGATAGCTATATTTCTTCTGTTTTTTTTCTTTTAAAGCGAAGGTCTTTTGTCGTTCTTGTGATTTAGGTTGAAATACCGACTATACTTTATTACATATACAGGTTAACACTGAAAAAACTAGTAGACTGTTGAAAAGAATGACGAAAACACCTAAAGATTTCTACTGTGATATTAATCTCTTTTTAACGCTTATTAATTATTCATAAGAATAATTAAAAGTATCCAGGTCTTTTTATAGTGTTAGTCACTTTATAGATACTTTCTGTTATTATTTTAATGTAGTCAAGTCTATAATATCTGTGAAATTCTAACTACGTTCTTTTTTTAATGTGAATTGGACATTTTTTATAATAACAGTGACATTAGCCGATTGTTATTGAACCTCTTAAATTTGAAATCTACTCAGTTAGAATTCTCATTAAATTATACTTCTAATCACATATTGTCGTTTTAGCTTCTATATACAGAACTGTATGTTCTGTCTAATCAGTCATGCATAATCAGCTTGAATTTTGATTTAAATATACTAACGGAAGTAACTCAGTAAATAGTCAGTCACTTCTTGAACAGATTTCAATATTTGATTTGGTTATGTTTAGCACTCTTTCAGTCTGTCTTTGCTCCAGCCTGTATTTCTCGTCATGACAGGCAGTGGTTGAGGATTTGTAGTATGTGTCCCAACCACCTGAACTCATGAAGATGAACAACTCCACCCACGGATTTGATATTTTTGCTTAATGCCATATACCTAATCTCAATATTGTTTCACAATATGCATGAACTGTTTTTAAGGCACCAATTACCATCTAGTCAGTTATCAATTATCTGTAACAGTTGTCTGAACAAACTATTTAAACTTTTATAATTCTATGTTACATTCAGAGTGCATGTACAAATAAATATCTATTGTAATAAAAGTACTTAGATTAATTTCAATCATAATCTGACAAGTTCCTTTGATATTGTAAGGTTAATATTCCAATTAAAATCTCAACAACACTAGAATATACTTTTTGTTCACAAAGTCTAAAAGTTTTATATCAGATAGAAACATTACAAAAGAGGAAGCAACAGATCAAAGTTTCGCTACAATGCAAGATACCTTAACAATATAAACTAGCTATTTTATTAAGAATTCGACGAAGAACTTTTAGATCTCGCAGCTATCATGAAATCATCAATGTACTAAGTGGATGTTCAACAGACTACGTATATGCTCCGTTCTATTAAACTTAATAACAAATCCATTTTAGTAAATAGCAGACATATTTTCACTATCAACTAGCTTTCAAATGAGATCCATGTAATTTAAGCACGAAACTTCAACTGAATTGTCGATTCAGGTTATGCTATTACACCAACAACAGTCCATAGAAATCCAGCAATTTTTTTCATTCAAATAATAGACAGTAAGTCAGTAATGAACATCCTGTATACTTATTTCTTCTTTAAGTGCATGTGGATAAATTGTCAAGGTGTGTCTTACATAAATATGTATGATGAATTTAGGAAACTTGTAAATTGATTTAAACATAATATTGACAATGGAACTATTGAAACAGTCTCACGTAAAAAATGTGTAATGATAAAACCATAATTTTATAATAGAGTAAACAAATAGTTGTATATGTGAAAATTATATTTGAAATAATCTCAGCGATTGAAATTTAATTTTTTTCTTTGATGGTTTTGATTTTAATTATTACGCTGAAGAAGTCCAAACAAGTTAGATGGACGAAACGTTGGAATTATTTAAACTTCAATCGCTGAGATTATTTCAAATATAATTTTCATATATAATGACTTCTCTATACTCGGGTCCCAATTTCTGTCAAACTATTGGTTCAAATCTTGACGAATATTCGTATAAAGTAGTTGTATAATTAGTTTCTATTACGTCACATTTCGATAGTTGGATACAATTCAAATGAAATTTAAAAACACTAAAGCTTAATGTATCATAAAGGCACATATACATATATAATGTAAATTTATCAATCATAACTTACTAATTATCTGAACCAAGACTGTGTCAAGTTCTATTGTGTATTTTCCTATTTATTATATTTCACAATAATCTTCTTTTGTTCAACTCAAAATTATCCTTTAATTACTTTCTATTTATACTCTCTTCTATTTGTTTGTTCTTTTTTTTTTAACAAATAAACATAAAAACATTCCCTATTTAATCGAAATTAATATTTTATTTTATGGGAAATTTTCTTATTGGTCAGTTTACAATAGTATAATCATCTGTTTGTTTAGTTGTTTATTTGTTTGTTCGTTTTTTGTTTTTCCATATTTTGCTTTTTATTATTATGAATCAATTGAAGCTAGACTACCATAAAAACCTGAAAGCACTGGATCAGTGGAGTTCAGTTGGGTCAGTTGTGAAATAGTAATTCACTGATGACAATGGTGGATGTATTATACATTAACATGATCGATAGCATTCGATCTGCACTAATAAGGACTAGACAAGCATGACATTGATCACCACCCAGTGATCAATTAATTGCGATTACATCTCAATCCTACAGGAGGTCAGTCGTGGCTCAGATAGCTCAGTGGTAACGTCTCTTACTGTGAAGCTGGATGACACGAGATCGTATCCGCCAGGGAGCACCAGTTCCCTCAAGATTACAGGTACACCTTGCTGACGAGTGCCAAGTAGCACGAAACCCGGGTCCACGGTTTCCTGTTGACTACCTCCAACCACCATCTAATACATTAACACCGCTGGATGCCGGCTCAGTGATCTAGTGGTTAAGTGCTCGCGCGCAAGCCTGATACGTCTTAGGTTCGAATCCTGCTAGCGGGATCGTGGACGCTCACTGCTGAGGAGTTCCACAATAGAACAAAGTGACCGTCCAGTGCTTTCAGGTTGTCCATGGTGGTCTAGCTTCAAATGACTCATGATCTCAACTACTGAAATAACTACCATCTCCACAAAAACCCCTTCCGATATTTTTTAGTATTAACTTGATATTTATTTCAACTTGAAAAATATTTTTAAAAAAAGAAAAAGAAAACGAAAGTAGAAGAAATGTATAAATGTTGAATATGAATAATTGTACGTTTGATTCAAATAAAAACTAATAGTTAGAGTCAAGAATTTAATAGACTTGTTTCTTTGATGTTGATTACTTCAATGTTACATAATAATAATAATAATATGGGTGTACATTAAATATTATTGTCTAAATATTTAAAAAGTATTCTCTTTGAAAGAAATGAATATTATTCTATATTTATATGTTAACATTTCAAAGATGTCTGCTATATAGATGTTTTAGTCGGTAAATATCATGTATCCAAAGCATCTGATTCTCCCTTATTATTATTATTGATATTTTGTACAAAATTACTTTGATTTGTTATTCTTATTGTAGGCAGAAAATATATTACAACAGTAATCTTTATACTTTATTATGCTTTTTTCTATTCATCAAATTATCATGTTTTTCCTGTGAGTAGACATATTTTGATGCTTACTGAGTTCTATCAGTGAACATATGATAGATAATTTAAGAAGATCCATGCTTTTATCATTTGTTGATTTGTTCAGAATGAATTAATATAAAAATCTGAATCAAAAATTGGTTTCTTCCCACTGATCAGTCATCGTCAAATCACATATAAATTTATTAAATGAATGTTGATAAGAAATTTACCAAAATAATATTTTTTTATAATTGAATTTATGAGTTGATTAAAGCTAGGCCATCATGAAAAACCTGGAAGTACTGAGCGGCCATTCCGCTCTAGCATGAAATTCTTCAGCAGTACACATTCATGATCCTGCCTCAAGAGATTCAAATTCAATTTTGATATACAATATATTATGAATCAGTAAGCTTATTTAGTAAGTTGAAGTTTTGATCCCAAAAAAAATTGAATAACCGCTGTAGATTCAACAAAATACATATTGATAACTTATTTACCCATATATGATTTAAACTAAATTGATTCTTTTCACTATGAGAACAATAATTTAACAAAGGTCATTTGAAAACGACAATTAAAAGTTGAACAAATAAATACGTCTAGATAACGAAAAAAAAATAAAATAAAAGTTGACTTAATCACACAATCTGATAAAAGTTATTTAGAGAACTTTTACTTGAGTTTAATTTTAGACAATTTCTAATAATCACTTTAGATAATAAATAACATTTCCTTTGATAATATCAGAACATTAAAGTTAAATTGACCGTAAAATCATTATTATTTACTTAATATTTAGATTCAATTATGATTGATTTCCAATAAAATATAAAATTCAAAAAGTTTGTTTGTTTGTTGTTCAAATTTTATTTTTCTGATTCTAGGAACATTATAGGGATGTATAACGATTTACATAAGTAAGTTTTTATTACAAAAAAATATTAACCTATAGTTATAAACAGTTACATTGAAGGTTAGTTCATAAGGATTTAGGTTTAGTTACAAACGATGATAAGTTCATTCTATAAGCACCTAATATAACTGTTCATTTTTTAAGAGTTTTTCAATTGGATACTGGCTCAGTGGTCTAGTTTGTTAAACGCCTGGCGTGAAACTGATAGGTACTGGGTTCGAATCTCGTGGGGAGCGGGATCGTGGATACGCACTACTGAGAAGTCCTATACTAGGACGAAACGGCCGTCCAGTGCTTCCAGGTTTTCCATGGTGGTCTAGCTTCAATTGACTCATGATTTCAATCAGTGAAATTTCTAAAACCTCCACAAAACGCCTTCTGACAGATTTTCAGTTCATTATATAATATAATTGTCATCAATTGGTCACTTTTTCATTTTTGGTTTAATTGATTCCATTGACCATAGTACATTTATAACAAAGATGAACTAAATTCTAAATTGTTAATTAGTCGATTTCAATACCCTACTCTTAGATTGTCGTGTTAACTGTGAGATCTCAAAGGTAATTTTTCATTCTTGTATTGATTAATGATTATTATCCTTGAGAAAATATTCCAAAATACTAAACTCTGTTGATCAATTCTCTTCTAGACAAGTTCAGTTTATGACAATGATCTTTTTTTTTAAAAAAAGGGAAATTATCAACTCTTTGAAAGAACTACTCTTTGCAAAATATTTCGAACACAATTTAGATTAAATTTAGTTTTTTGTTCTGTGGAGATGATTACTGAAATAGTTGATATTAAATGCAAGTCATAATTATTCAGATATTGTAATGATGAGTTTAACTTATAATGTCCACTTAAAACACAGAGAATATAAATTATCATACAAAATTTACATATACTTAACCCAATAAATATTTTCAAAAGACCCATTAGGAGTCTACATATGTGTTTTGTCTGTTACAAAACTCCATTGAAAAGATGCTAGTAGACATTCATTAATTTCATCAGGAATGATAAATATTACGCTTGTTGAGTTAATTGCTGGCCGCTATAACTTAATGACTGCGTAGATATTGAATTGGAATTTTAAATAACAAATATGGAATTGAAAAACTGAAACTAAGATCTTGTTTCATCTAACTGACAAATAGTAAACAGAACCAAACACCTACTATAGCTTCAAGTTTTAACGATTATCAAGATAATATTTTGAAAACTTTAATTACTGTAGTATAGAATTTAAATTTAGTAACTATATATCACTTTCGAAAGTTGTGAACTCAAGTTATAATACTTAAATTACAGAAACAGAAATGATTAATAACGACTTATCCCTACAATAGAATATATTTATTTAATTTGTTTATTTGTCTTCATAGCCTAGAGTTTATCATCGAACCCATGAATATGTACTCAACCATGTGAGTATTTATATTGCATTAATTCACAATCTGAACTGAAACTCAATAAACATTTTCAAAACAATTGAAATAATTGAAAAATACAGTGTTTATCTTTCAAACAAACACAATTCTATTGGTCTGAGTTTATTTATTTTACTTAGCACTACTAATAGGCATGTTATTTTAAACACACATTTCAAACTAGTGTTATGTAAGCAATGATGGATAGTGGCTAGCAGTGGAATCCAGAATGCGCGTTTCGTTATGTAACATTTTTTTCAAATATAATAAAAGATAATTCACTGGAGTTACTTAAATTACACTGAAATTTGAACATATGTTGTTTATAAATAAATTAATATATATATATATATATATATATATATATATATATATATATATATATATATATATATATATATATATATATATATATATATATATATATATATATATATATATATATATATATATGTAATATCCCAATAAGTAGAAAAACATAAATTTTCTGACGTTTCGTGACTCAGTGTAAGCCACTTCTTCAGGGATATTATAAATATATTAATTTATTCATAACAATCTACTCAATGCTCAGTTTATCTGAAATTATCAAGTTAAACCTTGGTAATAATACCCACAAACTCATATTTTGTTTAGTTGCATGTCAAATTTAATCGGAATTCAATAAAAGGTAGTGAGGTCAACTTTATAAAAATTGATAAATCACGTTACATAAGTATTCGCTGTGGAATGGGTAACTTTGTGTCGTTTTATTGTTAAATATTAAAATATCTCCAATTTAACAGTTACTCAGAGTTTGTGATCCAAGTGTGTAAGAGTTATAACAGGTCAGTAGGATCCTAGGTCTATTCCACAAACAATTGTTTTCTGACATCTTTTTGTGTTAAGAGAAATATTATACAAAACATTTTATTGTTAATTTACACTTTAAAGTAACCATTGTTTAATTTCATGTAGGCTGTAATTATCATGAATGTGTTAATGGGATTCTTTAAATAAACACTCATTATAAATAATGTGATAACCAATTATATGAAAAATAATCTGTTGTTTTCAGTTTCTTTTCTCAGTCCACTCAAACAATATAATATTTTGGTTATATGCACCATACTCATACATAAATAAGATTTGTTTTCATTGTTCTACTCCAATAACTATGTACTTTATTTATTTAGTTGGTTATTAACTTTATTCAATTTTATATTTTTGGTAAAATATAGAATTCTCAGCACAGAGTATTTCAGTAAGTTTCCGTTTCTTAATTCTCGATCGATATTGACGATAAATATAGAGTGATCGCCAACTAGATATTACTATTTCAAAAGTCGACATCTGAA